ATGTACTGTGCCACATGCTACATGCCGAATCTGAGCTATGAGAGAGAGTATGGTGTATTCTTGCGAAATCATGGTGGCCTCGGCCCCATCAGCCAAGGTTCAATGATGATACCTGCAACCTTGGTCTTGATCATCTTGACTCCTTGTCCCCATGTTCTGAAGAAGCGGTCCCTAGCTACTCTTTTGTTCAAAGCACACCTGGCCCTCCTCCAATCCACCCAAATCAGGGAACGTATTCCATCCAGAACCATATTCATGATGTTGAGGTCCGAATGGAACTTGGATCGAAAAACCCTATCATTCCTGATTCTCCAGATGACCTGCATAATGACCGCTCTACATGCATGGGTCACGTACACCCAACCCTTGCCGACTGCCTCTGCATTGTGCAAGATGCCTTCCACCACAACATCCTCCTTCTACTGAACCAAACTCTCCACCTTCTCCCATAACTTAGCCCACCACACCCAGATCCTCTTGGACTCAATGCAGCCCCACTATAGATGCGTAGCTGATTCCACCGTTTTTTGACATCTTCGGCACGTGTTATCTACCAGTAATCTGTTCTCTGTTAGACATTTGGCTGTGGGGACAATTCTGTGAGACTGCATCCAAGTCAGGCTTCTCAGCTTGGCGGATGGAATCTGCTTCAGATTGTGCTACAATTTTCTGAGTTTAGTCCAATTAATTCCCCCGTTCAGGGAAGATCTCTCTCTGGGTTCCATCTGCCAGCGGTTACAGACCCCTAGAGGGAGAGACCATGACTTGGCCTGCATCCTGTATCCCACTGTGGGCCGATATTCCAGGAGATTGACTTGTTTGAAGGGCTCGAGCATGGACCACCCCCAGTGAAGCGGTAATGTTTGCAGACTATCAACTGCCTGCGTTCCCATAGGACAAAAAAAAATATTCTTGTCCTTACTTGCTGGTTTCGAACAGACGACTATGGACTTAACCTGTCCGAGCTCAATAACCATCTCCTTTGTTTCCAGTAGGATGTTGGAAAACCCATTCTCGTTATTTTGTATGGTGTAAGGTGTGGCGATAAACTCAAATGGGGAAAAACAAGGAGTTTACTATTGTATTTCGAGAACTAAGCATAACCAGGGGAACATAAATAGCAGATCTTCCATGGTCGGAGCAACAGTGTTAACCAAGACTGTTCAGTGAAACTGTCAAGTCCCCGAGGGAGCACGCAGGGAGAGCCGAGATCAAACGCCCGTGACGGTAGACGATCCCTCGTGGCGATTATAAACTTGTTTGATATTTCAGAAAATTGGAAGAGACTAAGAGGGCTAATGTGGCGAGAGGGGAGTCTTGGACTGGATACTGAGTGACGAAGAGGAAAGAGGTAGGTAAAAGAAAAAAAAGAAAAAAAGAAAAAAAAAGGGGGGGAAATGTCTAGGGCTTACGCAGTGCGGCGAAGCATTATGAAAATGCAGGTGCGGGTTATGCGAGCACGTGCCAATGTGCCAAATATTAGATCAAGTGATGGGTAACACACACAGCGGGGTGGAGGAGAGTGTAGGGATTGCGGATGTGAATCACCAGTGGGACCGAAGGTCTCTGGACCTGCGGGACAAAATAACGAGAGATGCGGGCTCCTCATTCGAGATAGGCACGCAACCACGGGAAATAGTGGCTCACTAGCCCGTCGGCATTGTCGACAAGCGAGAGACAGGTGACGGGTACAAGGCGAGTAAAGTCCTCAGATAGTACCGAGGTATTGTAGACTATCTAGACCTAATAGGCGGAATCGGGAGAGAGAAAAGGAAAAGAGAAAAAAAAGAAAAGAGGAAAAAGGAAAAAGTGTTATAGCCAACACTAGAAAGGCGGTACGGAGGGCTCACAGGACAAGGGGCCCACCGCCAACTATCCAACCTCAGCCCTGCCTGGCCCTATGACAGGGCGGGACCCCCTCTCTACGAGGGACAGCGGTCGAGGGAAAAAATTAAGATCAGGGCCTGACCTGCGAGAATGCCGGTATCACACCCCCTACGATCAACGTCGGAGATTGTTTCGGGCTTGGCCAGCAAACCACGGTTCCGACTTGGACTCGAGATCCTCTCAGACTGTGTCTTTCCTAAAAAAACGAGATCACACCCCCCAACAGCCGTACCTAGACTGCCTAGGTTGTAAGCTGTTTAAAGTGTATGGACCCGGCACAACGGATACCTGCGGACCCCGAAATGGAAGGTATGAGAGAATGATCAACCCTAGTCGCTATCCCCGTTCGAATAAAACAAAAGCTAGAGCGCTGCGACGAGTGACTGGGAACATTAGGGAAACTGGGGAAACAGAGTGTAACTCGCGAACTGGACACCTGTCCTAAACACACGTCCCAAAGTCGGCCATGTGCCAGGCCTGCGTAAAGTCCGGTATGACACCCCTTTTTCCAAGAATCGAAGATCGAAACGGACTGAAGCAGTACCGCCCAAAGCGTAGTACGCTATTCCATAAGTTCCTTCACGAGGATCTGGCTAGCGCCAGAGCGAAAAGGCAAAGGAGAAAAAAGGGAGAAAAAAACAAGGGGATGCAACCCTAGTCCGACTGTAACGTGCCTGAACGGGCGAAACACACCAGGAATGTGGCGAGAATGTATAGGAACGGAGATCAGGGGATGTGGCGAGAATGTATGGGAACGGAGAACAGGGACCTAGCGAAGCCAAGTTCTGCGACTTTATAACTACTAGACAGAAGGGAAACGACAAAGGGGAGATGTAAGTTCAGAAAGAGAAGCCCTTATCACAAGCCACGTCCGAAAACAAAGTAAAGCAATACGACAAAATCCTGGGATATTGGGGAGGCAATGTATATCTCGCAATAGCCATCTTAGAATCCAGTCGCCTGCTTGCTCATTCGTGTCCCAACTGAGAAACTCATTCGACGCACTGTACCGGTCCAACTTGCTGGACGCACTGACCAAAAAGCCTCCGGCAGCGTCAAGTACGCACGTGACGTTCAATAAAGCAGACCGCGCTTGGTCGCTCCATGGGGCGTCGTGCAGAGCTCCTCACGATGTGGGAGCCACATGCTCCATAGGAAGCTCGCTGACCCTGCAGCGATCTTCGGTTCGAAAGTTCAGAGAGTCTGTCCGAAAAAGGAAAAAAAGACTCCGCTCACCCTTACTGCACCACCTCACCTCGCCTCATACCAGGGACAAGTTCATGTCGCCCTTGCTCGGACCCATCATGAAGCCCGACAGCTGAGCAACACGCCTCCCCCGTGCTAAGCGCCCCGGGGTATGGCGAACGAACTCTGCGATGGCCAAAGAAAAAACCCTAAAATTTAACGCACCCGCGTCGCCGGATTGGAGCGCTACGGCGCCGCCTCCAACTTCGTCCCCCGTCTTCCTTCCTCTCCTTTTCCCTTCTCTGTTTTCCACTTTTTTGTGCCTGTTTTTGTTCACCACATTCCGTTGGCGCGAAGCTTCAAAATCACTATTTTTTTACCCATGGGGTGATTTTGAAGCTTCGATTTTCCTTATTTTGTCGTTGAAAAAATTAGAAAAATGTGGGATTCGGAGTCCTTCGGCCGTCGTTTGTGCGCAGTGGCCAATAACACGGCGCGAAGAGATGTGTCAGTGTTGTCTTGTGGGTTCCTAGCACACAGTCCGAAGGCCGCGCTGCACTCACATACCGAGAGCAGCGGCCGCACATGCCCACAATGTCCACCCGAATTCATCCGGGGCGGCGGCCAGGGGGGTCACATGCGTTCCATCGTTTTTTTTTTTTCTTTTCTTTTTTTTCTTTCTATATTCTTCTCTCAACTTCTGTTTCTTTTACCTTCCACTACCTACTCCTAAGACTATCTAGAGGGGACCCCTGCAAGCATAGTTTCTTCTCTCTGTGAAGGGGAGATTTCATGTTGCCCCTTGCCCCTAATGGTTAGGGTATAGGGTTGGGGCGGCCAGTGGGGGTCTGGCTGACACAAAGACCGAGACCTGCCAGTAGCTGCGCCTTCCTTTCTCATCGCCCCCCCCTTTTCATCGAGTATCAGCAGAGGCTATGGCCAACACTCTCCCACACACCACACACAACCGACTCGCGCTCACACTCACACCCGTGTCGGTCATAGACCCCGCTAATACCGATCAGGGGTATCCAGAGGACTATCACAGTCCGTTGGCACTAAGTGCGCCGCAGGCGGCCACGGGGCTTGAACCCACAACCTCCTGAATGCCACGTGCATGCCTAACCAACTGAGCTAGGCCGGTGGATTGTTCCATCGTTTTGGGTCCCGTGTGGGATGGCAGTCATACTTGCCGGTTACTTTATTTTCATTTTTTTGGTGTTCATCGCCTAAAACAAAAAATGGACGAAAACAATTTCTGGACATTTTTTTAATGCTGAAAAAGTGCCACACACCTATTTACGCTTCGCTGGTGGGTCGAGGCCTCAGGCAAACGTTGTTCAGTTTGTTTTTCTGCATAACATAGTGTTTTTGTGGAGTTTTTGGATTTATTTTTTTTTATTTTTTTTTTTTTTGGCTGGGACCTTCCTTGGTCCTTGCACGGGATGGCCACCCGGGACCCGGGCGGCCCGGCTGGTAGCCTAGTGTTCAATGCAAATTTGACCGCAATTCTGGAAAGGCAGGTGGGGCACTTCCGAATTTCCGTCTCCTGCAGGCGGGAGGAAACGAATGGGGGAGGGTGGCTGTCGAGCGTACCATTCTGACACCTGTCGAAGTTGTTTTGAGCCGCAATTCTTTTTTTTGAGCGGCAAGTTTTCGACAGCCTGTGTGGCGAGCCTCTTTACACTCGCCGTTTTTTTCATTTCCTTCTATACGCGGTGCTGCACACATGTTCCTTCCGCGTGGCAGTTTCTGCGTTTGTCGGCCTGTTTCGGTCGGAGAAATGGAAGTGGCAGTCGGTCGGAGAAATGGAAATGGATCCTTTTTCAGGAAAAGAAAAGAAATAAACCCTTTGCAGAAAAAAGGAAATGAAATGGACCTCCCCTACCGTAGCCCGGGTAAGCGCTCTCGGGGCGCAGGTCTAGCCAGGCCATTTCGAGGTGCTGGGAAAAGAGGAAGAAGAGGAGGAGGAGGAGGAGGACGACGACGCCGAGGACAAGGAAGAGGAGGAGAGGACGAAGCCTGGGCGGGTGGGATGAAAGGGCAGACCGTTCTGGTCGCAGAGACGCACAGCGTAATCAATCAATCAATCACGTAGTTAGTCGTCGTTTTGGAAGATCTCGTCCCAAGCCCGAATATCGTGGCTAATACCGCAGCTACAACAGCGGCGGATCGAGCGAAGAAAGGTTGTCCCCGGAGCTACTCCCCATGATCGTGGCGGTAGTCACCAGAGGTTGTCCTCCTCTCTTCTCGGCGACGGCGATGGCGATGGGGGCGCAAGCTGAGCCGCCGGCGGCATTCCGCCGCCATGGCCCCCTTCTTCTTCCTCTCCTTCTCACGGCTATGGCGGCCTTCTTGTTCCCCGTCGCAACGGGCACGACGCACGCCGATCTCGTGAATGCCGTGACTAAGGACTGCACCCTCATCCTCGATTCCGACGTGACTATGACTGCCAGTCTGCCGGATGTCAATACGGCCGCATGTCCGGAGGTGAAGCTGATAGGCAGGTGTTCTGCCGGTCTGTGCAAGATCGACGGTGCGAAGAAGTTCAGCTTTATACGTAATGCGGAGAGGCTTCACTTAGAGAATTTGGAAATAACTCGGTGTAGGTGTGGAAAAGGACAGGCGGCCGCCGCCATCCGCGCCGATGTTGCAGTTATTAAGAACTGCAGGATCACGCACAACAAGGACGAAGGGGGCGGAGGTGTAGTGCATCTCTGGGAGGCCCAGATGACTGTCGAAAATAGCGTGTTCTCTCACAATCATGGCAGAACTGGCGGGGCCATTGTCCTTGATTCCTTCAGTACCTTGAACGCTACCGACGTCGTCTTCCGATACAATACTGCCGTCAGAGGTGGAGCTATAGAGAACGTCGAGAGCAATCTTGTGTGTGAGAGGTGTTCTTTCCTGGATAACGATGCGCAGGATGGCGGGGCTGTCTATTTGATTGACGATGATGGCACAGAGGCCACGTTTCGAGATTGCCAGTTTGTACGGAACCGAGCTCGACGTCGGGGAGGGATGGGCGGCGCTGTCTATGTGGGGAGGATCGATCCCGGGGCTAAGTTTTGTAATTGCAAGTTTGCAGAGAATTCGGTGACTTCCGGGAAGACTCGGCAGCAAGTCGTCAATCACGTCTGGATCGACATCAAGTCCGATGACTACGGGAACGTCACCTTCTGTCCGTCTAAACCTGCATCGGGAATATGGATTCATCCTGGGTTCATTATCAAGGAGGACTGCGCCGTCTGTACTTCAGCCAACGATTTCTAAGGTACACGCACACGCACACGCACACTACGACTACACATGGTAGGTGGGTAGTATCGAGGAGTGAGTTACTGCGAGTAGGTGATAAATCTCTGTCTTTTTTTTGTTTGTAATTGTTGAAAGATCGATGCTTTATGGTAGGTAGGTGAGATCCGGTTGTGCAGGCCGCCGTCAATATTCCTGTTGAGTTTCAGCCTTGCGACCGTACTCCCCAGGCGGAGTGTTTAACGCGTTAACTAGGTCCCTCATCGGAGATCTCTTTTGTACTATCATTTCATTTCAATTTTAACGGATATCTCGAGCGCACGGGATCCGTCCCATCTTTTCTTTGATCTTTACTATGGCTCGCCCCCCACCCCCGCGGCCCCCCAAGAAATCTCCCTTTTTTCCCCTTCGATCTCGAGATTGCATCATTTCAATGTCATTGCACTGTGTCTATCCATGTCCCTCCTGTTGTGCTTGCTTCCCCGCTGGTCCATGACCACGAGGAGTGTGTCGGCGCGTTATGATGGCTGGATCTGGGCAACTGTTCGTCTAGATACAGTCCGTCGGGGCGATAGTTGGTGTTGCAGTCTGCTATGCTACCCTGTTCACCCAATAGAACGGCCGGTCATTATACCTGAACCCGGGCAACTTTTAGTCTAGATACAGTGCAGTGATACATTCGGGTGAAGAGGGTAGGCAATATGATCGGCGTGCGTGCGTGCGTGCGTGCGTGCGTGCGTGATCGATGATCATGTTTTTTACGCATCAGCCCTTTTGTCTGACTTTCAGATGTCGTCGACTCATTTCATTCCTTTCCTCCTTTTTCTCAATTTCCATTTTTCCTTCCTTTCACGCTGTCATTATTCTGGTGCATGCATCAGCCTTGAAGTTCTCGTAGTGCTCTCGCTTGATTGATGTTGTACTTTCCTCCAATCAAAAACTTGGCAATGTCATTGATTGATTGAAGCCGATTTTGTGCTCAACTGATTGATTGATTGATCGATTGATTGATTGATTAGGCATTGACTAGTGAAAGCAACCGATCGATCGTTAGGTTACCGCTGTACGACGCTGATGCTGATGCCAATGCTGCTGCTCTCGCTCTCTCCCCCTCCCCCGCTGATTGCTGATGTTCTCTGCTGGCGTAAAATGCCATAGCCCGTTCACAGTTTGTCCCTCTCGTGTTTTTTTTTTTGTTCTCCCGGCCTTCTGTTCGGCCGTCTGTTAAGGCGGATTGCGCTACTGCGACCGTGAGAGTACCCGGGGACCACTCGTGTAGCTGTTGATAGTAGTCCACGAGAGCAGTCTCCCTACCCGGTGACCACTCGGATGAACGGTAAGGTGCGGAGATCGAGGTCTGGTCCGGCAGCCATTCACCTTCCTCTGACAGCTTTCGAGACTAGCAGAGTAACGCTTTTTTGTTTTGTGGTTTTGTCTGTCTCAATTTTCTTCATTTTATGTAGTCACTTAACTGTCGCGATTGGATACCGATGCCTCAGTTAAAACCGGCATGCAGTTTTTTGTTTCCATCTGTTCGCTGTAGCATCTCGAAGGTAGAGTGGAAGAGATTGGCTTTGTAGGTGGACAATGAATGCAACACACAGAGAGAGAGAGAGAGAGAGAGAGAGAGAGAGAGAGAGAGAGAGAGAGAGAGAGAGAGAGAGGGGGGGGGGGGGGGGGGGGGGGGGGGGGGGGGTTGATGAGACTCTTGACTCGTCTGGTGCTCTACTGCGGGAGAGTGGTAGTCAGGTCTGTGGTCATGTTTAACTCTTTCGTTTTGAATTTCTAAATACTGAATAAAACCGTTCAAAATAAATGCCCTATTGTTAGGAATAAAATCGTTCAAAATAAATGCCCTATTGTTAGTTTTGAATTGGCTCTCTGAACCATATAGACTGTTTTTGCCTTTTTTTTTTTTTTTTTTTGGCTCCCTTCTTATATTTCCTAGCTGGGGTCTTTGTTGAAAATCTGTCCCCTGTTTGTTTGTTTCCTTCCTCGCCCCTCCCACCGCGAACCTATTTTCTCCCCTGCCCCTCTCTTCCGTTTTTTTTTCATCGAAAGGTCGCGTTTTCGGTAGACGGAGGGCAGAAGATCAAGTCCCAGCTGAACGAAGTTGTTTACTGTAATCTGCCGTTGGCAATATGCTAAGGCATCATTTCGCTCTCTCTCTCCCCCCCCCTACCCATCTTTTCATCCAACACCGTTCCCTTTTTCTAAAGCTGTATGTCCATGCTCTGTCACGGTCTGAACCAGTATGGAGATTCCAGCATCCTATTTGATTGATGTCTTGATTCGGTTATTGGAGTCTGAACCCACCGGAGTATACAATGATTGTGATGTCGTAACCACTCTGACACGTTTGTGTACTAACACTCTATTTGCATATCTGGCGTGTACTTCGAAGTGATGGGGGGAAAGAATCTTCTCGCATTTGCACCAAGATTTGCCCGTTTTGAGAAGTAGGAGTGCGCCGGGGGGGAATTAAGTCAGAGAGAGAGAGAGAGAGAGAGAGAGAGAGAGAGAGAGAGAGAGAGAGAGAGAGAGAGAGACGTCCTCGTTCCTCTACAGTTACTCTCGAAATGTGCAAAACGAGAGTGAATCTTCCGCTAGAACATGGAAAGATACACGGCCATGATTTTTGTCTTTTGCGCATGTCGAGAGTAGTGGAGCTGCACCCAGAGAGGTGGCGCATTGTGCGGCTTGCTGCGTGGAACTCGCCGGCTCTCTCTCTCACCCCCCTCCGCCCACACCCATTGCTTTTCCCCGTTTTTTGTTTTGTTTTGTTTTGTTGTTGTTGTTGTTGTTGTTGTTGTTGTTGTTGCTTTTGTCATTACTGGTCGTTCCTCCCCCAACCCCCTTCCAACGCGGCGCGTTAATGGCCGCGTCGGGAATTTTTCGCAGGGCGAGGTACTGGTGGTTTAAGGGCAACAGTGCCCACCCTAACAAGGACCACTATTTTGTTTTCCTGTCCATACCCAACTCCTCCTTTGGAAGGGGTATCCAACCTAACCTGGCGGTTACAGTTGGGTATGGTCAGGTACGGGCAACGGTTACCCGTTTGCACTCTCTGGTCCATGGTGGTTGTATGTTGAGTTGGGGCTGTGAGAAGTCTCCCTGATGTCCTTGGTTCATGGGTTGTCTGGGTGTTTGTGCATTTGAGTGTTCTTCTGTCTTCTGGTCTAGCTTCTCACATAAAAACAGACTAGTTTTTCAGTAGCTTAGTAGGTTGACAAGGGAGATTAAATGGATGAGGTTGTGTTCGAATTCACGTTGTGGTATGTAGGCAAGGCTGCAAGGGTATTGATAACCTTACGGTTCTGCTAGGTAAGAGGGTAAGAGTCCAAGAGTGGAGGCCGAATCAGGAGGGATCGTGTTGCTAGTTAGAGAGTTTGGGGGGGTCATCCACTAGACACGGAGGGGTTAGGTAGGATGGCTGTAGACTTGTAACGTGAACAGTTGAGGAGATGAGACTTAGTAGGGGGCTACGAATCAGGTGGGATCCGGTTGTTAGTTGGGGATCTTGTGGCGTTGAGCCACTAGGCACGGGAGGGGTTACACCACTACTATCTCCACCCTTGGAAATTAGGGCCGTCCGGTAGGAAAACGTACTGCTTGACAATGTGGCGCTGGCCTACCGGTAGTTGAGGTGACTAATGGCCATCCCCACACATGAGGTCCAAGTCCCGGCTAGTGGGACCTGCGGTTGGAGGCGGCTGAATCACCTGGTGGCCACCGGTGGTGGGGTCCTATGAACTTCATGCTTTCTGCCCGCATCTGGGCTGGATTCGCTGAGTCATGAATGTTCTTTTGTTTTTTTTTGTTTTCGTTCGTCGAGATGTGGCCGTTCGAACATGGGCCTCGCCACAGCACTGTCAAAATGGCCTGTGGACAAAAAGTGTGGTGGGTGCATCTGGCCATGTTTGGAGGGGAAGTTGGTCCATCATTGTGCGGACCTGGAGAGTGGTGTGGCCACACCCAACGTTGAGAGTTGTGCAGCGATGGCCAGTGGGCATAGCCACACCACTCTCAACATGTGCAAAATGAGAAAATGAGAATGAACTTCCAACAAGAACATGTGCAGATGCACCCTTGGCAGTGCTGAGAGAGAGAGAGAGAGAGAGAGAGAGAGAGAGAGAGAGAGAGAAGAGAAGAGAAGAGAAGAGAAGAGAAGAGATAGAGAAACGGCAGCAATCACACGGCCGCGAAATGGCATTGTCGGCTCCCGGCAGAACGCCCCCTCGATGTTTCCCTTCGCCACCCCACCCAGGCAAAATAGCGACTAAATTCATGTGCAGAACGCAGGGGAAAACGTACCTGACTTGACAGTGTTTTTTTTTTTTTCCGCATCTGGTTTTTTTTTTTTTTTTTTTTTTTTTTTTTTTTTTTTTTTTGCATCCTCTTCGTTGCAGCTCTTTACCGCGCATGGACTGCCATCTCATTTCAAAGTTTCTGGCTTTGTCTGTCGTCGCAAGAGCGTGGTGCATTGGCGGTCGGCCCTGCCCGTTTTCATATCGGTGAAACCCCGCACTTGTCATCTTAGCCCCGCCCCTCCCCACCCGACGACAAACTGACCGCAGGCGTTTCAACTAGCGGTCCCACCTTCAAAAAATTTGGGTCTGTGGGGTGTTGGGCTGTTGGGCACCGACGTACCGACAAATATGGTCTGCAAGGCCAGGGATGGTGAATTTTGGCCGGTGGGGGTAGTGGTGGTTTAAGTAGTGTGACGCCCAACCTCACGTCCGGCGCGACTTCCTGATCGGAGTGGGATGTGGGCTTGGAAGTGCGAAAAGGGGTGTGCCAAGGATTTTTGGGGAAAGTGGGGGTGGAGTCCCAGGTCGGAGCTGAGATCTTCTGTGGCAAGGGTTCAGGGGCATAGGTGCAATAGGGCTAAGGGGCGGGTTACTTTCGTTCTGATGGCGGTCGATGTCGTGCAGCATAAGGCAGATGGCATGCGTGGTACATCAAGGGCCGTCCGATCCGTCTGTTTTGGTGACGGGGGTTCGGGAGAGGCTCGTTCGTGAGGGTTGCGATGTCGAGCGCATCGGCCCTCGTGCGAAACGAGGGCCCTCCCGGCCATGTCGCGCAGGAGATGAACTCATAACACATCCTCAAGAGACAAATCGAGAACGACGCATAACTTTCGGCGAGCCGTCGAAACGGACGCGATTGCATTGCTCCTTCGCCGCTCTAGCCGGGTGCGCCAACTGTACATCCCGCGGTCCCCTACGATAGGATAGGTTTTCGTGGGGCATATGCTTGCATCCCTAAGGGGCTCTCACCACCATTAGGGACGTATCCCTATCGAGCTACTGATCCACGCGCGAAGACTTTTAAATGCAATCGCAGAGGTAGATCAGCCGAGGGCGTTTGCTCGTCTCGCTGCAGTATAGGAAATGTTTGACTAAATGCTGAATGGATCCGAACGCCATTCGTTCCCTGGGGCGCTGATCAGTGAATCCCCCCCGGCGGCGGAAAGGCGCGGCTAAGTCCTCGGCCGCGGCCAGGCCGCGAAGCCCGCGGACGCGCGCATTCGCGGACACGTGGCGGCCGCAGGGGAGGGGGTTTGAAGATTCTGATGGCGCCACATGGCGGCGCATCCCCTGCCCCAACCCCCCCACAAAAAAAAAACGAAAAAGATCAACTTTTAGTGGGGAGGTATGGGCAAAATGCAACGAAAATGGGGAAAAATGGGCGGGGTTGCCCCGCCCCACCTTTGATTGATTGATTGATTGATTGATTGATTGACTGATTGATTGATTGACTGGTGGGGGAGGGGTTTCCCCCCGCGCGATTGATTGATTGATTGATT